GGGGGGGGGGTGGGGGATGACTGTTCTCCCTGGATGGCTGGGTCCCACTCATAGCCCCTGCCTCTCCCCTTGCCTCCTACCCCGGATGCCTCAGAAGTAGAGGGTAGGGGTTGTCACTCACGTTCTGGTTGTAGATGGTGACCTCCCCTGTGGGGCAGGAACCCCCTGTGATACAGCAATGACTCCGGGGGCACCAGTGACACCCCCAGGGGCTGCTCACACAGGCAGTGCATCTGAGGGGGGAGGAGCAGGCTGGGGACCTTAGAGCTCCTCAACCTGCCCCCCCAGTCCTGCGGTGTCCCTCACTCCCAACCCCAGCCCTGCCCATAGTGTCCCTCACTCCCAACTTGCAGCACCCCCTTACCTCCACGGTGCCCCCCACTCCTGACCCACAGTCCCCTCATTGCCCTGTGGCACCCCTCACTCCTAACCCACAGCCCCACTCCATGGTACCTCTAATTCTCAACATGTGTCCCCCCGTATCCCCATGGTGCCTCTTTCTCCTGACCCACAGCCCTGCCCCAATATCCCCACAGTGCCCCTCACTCCCAGCCTTCAGCCCCCACCCACTCACGGTGCATTGGGGGCCAGGAGGGCAACAGCGCTGCAGTCATAGAAGGCAAATCCCACTGCTACCACCAACACATCCTCAAACATCACAGACAACTCCACAGTCACATGATCTAGGGGGGATCACATGATTACTTACCCATAGGTTTAATAGATTTCATTGATTTCATAGACATTAGGGCTGGAAGGGACCTCTCGAGATCGAGTCCAGTCCCCTGCTCAAGGGGCAGGAAGTCAGCTGGGGTCAGATAACCCCAGCAAGATAAGCATCCAAGTGTTTCTTAAAGGTATCCAAAGTAGGTGCTTGTACCATTTCTGGGAGAGTCTATTCCAGACTCTGGAGACTCGGACAGTAAAGAAGCTTTTCCTTATGTCCTGTCTAAAATGGTCTTCCAGCAGTTTATGACTGTTAGACCTTGTCTTCCCTTGGGGTGCCCTGGTGAACAGACATTTTCCCAGTTCCTGATGCATACCATGTATATAAGCATATACTTATAGGCTGCCACCAAGTCACCCCGAGCCTTCTCTTCTCCAGGATGAAGAGTCCCATGCCTCAGCCTCTCCTCATAAGGCCTATTTTCTTGACCTCTAATCATGCACGTGGCTCTCCTCTGGACTCTCTCAAACTTCCCCACATTCTTTCTAAAGTGTGGAGCCCAGAACTGGGTGCAATACTCCAACTGAGGCTCACCAAGGCCGAGTAAAGCGGGAACTCCAGCTGCAGCCTCACTAAGGCAGAGTAAAGTGAGGAGGGAATCCTCTGGGGAGGGAAGAAGAAGGGGAAAGGCTAGAGCAACACATTGTGGGTAGGGATGAGCTAACCTTTGCCTTCTGGGCTGGGTGGGACCTGGTCAGGGCTGAGCGCCAAGCAGCGGACCCAGGAGTCCTGGCGAGTGGCTGGGCGGGCCTGGCTCCCAAAGGCACAGTGGTAGCTCTTGCCCTCAGCCAGCAAAGGGAGCTGGGGCACCTGCAGCATCACCTAGGGGTGGGGGGGCAGGTTCAAGAGGTGTAGCTGAGCCCCTGAGGCCCCACCCCCTTGTCACCAGCCCCATCCAGGTCTCTTCTTCCAACCTGCACTGTGGGATATGCCTCATCTCCTCCTTCCTGTAGCCATGGCCACATCCCCCCACACACCCACAAGCCCTGACCCATGTTTCTAACCACACCCACTTCCCCCTAGACCCCTGGTTCCACAAGCCCCACCCTTCCCCTGAAGCTTCCCTCAAGCCCCACCCTACCCTACCCTCATACTGACCTCAGCAGGCTCTCCACGGCTCTGATTGGCTGGCATCACACTCTCCACCTGCAGGCACTGGCTGCCTTCCCCATAGCTCCACAGCCACTGATTGGCTCCCTCATGGTGCACACACTCTAGCTTCCGCCTGCACCTGACTCCGCCCCACCCAACAACAGCCAATTGGGTGAGGAGGCAAAGCCAAGGGATAGATAGCTCTGCCCACCGTCTTTGGACCCCACCCCTTTCAAGGCTGTTTATATAGGACCTACATAACACCCCCCCCCCTCGCCCTGCCTTTCCTGCAGGACCTTGTCAAAATGTCACACACTCTAGCTTCCGCATGCACCTAACTCCGCCCCACCCAACAACAGCCAATTGGGTGAGGAGGCAAGGCCAAGGGCTAGATAGCTCTGCCCACCCTCTTTGGACCCCACCCCTTTCAAGGGTGTTTATATAGGACCTACATAACACCCCTGCCCGCCCTGCCTTTCCTGCAGGACCCCCTCAAAATGTCTCATTCTCCCATTATGTTATTCTCCCCCATATGCCTGAGATGTGCCCACCTCTGGCATGGGGCAGCTGGGGAGCAGTCAACTTTAACACCAACTAGATAGGGATGACATGCAATCTGTGGGGTGCAATAGTTATGGACTGGTTGGGGGAAAGCCAAATGCAGTCAGATCTAGAAGAACAACACTTGAGTATAACACCACAGAACAGGCCAATATGTGCCCAGCTCTGGGGTGGAGCAGATAGGGACCAGCCATACATAACACTGCACAGATAAGACTAAGATGTGTCCAGTTCTGGGGTGAGGCAGCCAGCTCTAGGGAGGGTTAGCTGGGAACAGCCAAGTGTAACACCACCCAAATAGGGCCAAGATGTGTCCAGCTCTGGGATGAAGCAAGTAGGGAATGGCCAAATAGACAGACAGAGCCAGATAGAAGCCCAGATAGAGCCAAGATGCGCCCAGTTCTAGGGTGGGGTCATTTGGCAATAGCCCAGCATAACAGGCTGATATGCACCCATCTCTGGGGTGCAGCAGGTAGGGAGCAGCTGTGTATAACACCCCCCCCGACAGGCCTGAGATGTGCCCATCTCTGGGGCAAGGCAGGACTCACCGGCCCTGTAAGACACACCAGCCGCAGAAGGGGTCCCGGACACCAAGGCAGGAGGTGCAGTCTGGGAACTGGGGACATTTGCTGACTGGGAGCCGGGTGACCTGGGGGAGAGCAGATTTGGGCAGGTCAGGGTGCTGACAGGCCCCCCAGGGGTGGAGGGGGGCTGGGGCAGGGTAGAGGAGGTGCACCTACCTGGGATTCAGTCATGGCATAGAGATAGGTCCCAGTCTTGTCCAGTAGCAGGTCGGGGCTGATGGGGCTGTGCTGGCTGAGACGCACAGTGCTGTACACAGAGCCCCTTGAGGCCTCAATGAACACCTGGGGCAAGGGAAGACAGGGGAGGGGGAGGGAGGTTAGAGGGGGCAGAGGCCTCTCTGGGGATCCCTTCCTGAGATGCAGCCAACCTCCAAGTAGGGCAACTGGGGAATGGCTGAGCATAACAGGGCACAACAAAGGCTAAGATGCAGCCAGTTCTCAGGTGTCGCAGTTGAAAAATGGCCAGGTATAACATTGCCTGGGGAGAGCTGAGATGCAACCAGCTCTGGGGTAGAACAGCAAGGGGGAATGGCTGAGTATAACACAGTTCAGGGAGGGCTGAGATGTGGCCAGTTCTGGGGTGGGGCAACTGGGGAATGGCTGTGTGTAACACTGCATGGGGATGGCTGAGAGGCACTCAGCTCTGGGGTGGGGGCAGCTAGTAACAGCTACATATAACACCATGAAAGAAAGGCCAAGATGCACCCAACTCTGAGCTGGGGCAGTGGAGAAACAGCTGAGCATAACAAGCCAAGATATAATACCCCATGGGGAGGCCAAGATGCAGTCAACTCTGGGGTGGGAGCAGTGGGCAACAGCCCAGTATAATGCCACTCAAGGAAAACCAAAATGTACCCAGCTCTGGTGTCAATGGGAAACAGCTGAATATAATAAGGCAAGAAGAGGGTTGACATGCTTGCAGGTCTGGGGTCGGGTGGCTGGGGAACAGCTGAGTATAACAGGCCGAGATGAGCCCAGCTCTGTGGTGCAACAGCCAAGGAACAGCCAAGTATAGCAAGGCACAGGGAAGGTTTAGACATGCCCAGCTCTGAGGCAGACCTGCTGGGGAATGGCTGAGCATAACAAGGCAGGAATAGGGCTGAGATGTGCCCAACTCTGGAGTGGATCAGCTGGGGACTGGCTGAGTTTAACGCTGCCCCAGACCCTACCTTGTGCAGCTGCCCAAAGGCATCTCCAAGGAAGATGATGGTGTTCCCAGCCTCTTCTGTGGCCACGACGGCTGTGAGCTGTGGCAGCTCTGTGACTAGGGCCGGGGCCTGGATGGGCACCAGGCTGACAATGGGGGAGGGCGTGTGCTCATCCCCACACGGGTACAGCTCTGATGACTCCTGGGGGGAAATGGGGGGCCAGGGGTTAGAGGTGATGGGGATGTAGATAGCTCTGATGTGGAACCCGCTCCTCCCCCCACTGCTCACCTGGGGCAGATGGGTGCAGTGAGACGTGACCCCATAGGCGATGGCGGCACGGGGAGGGTCAATGCCTACCCCCCCACCGTGGCTGTAGCAGGCCTGGCGTGTGGCCTCGGCCTCGGCCTCCAGCACCTCCAGTGGGAAGACGCATAGGGCTGAGAGTAGCCCAGCCCCTGCATCTGCTACCACGAATAGTGCTCCGTGCTGGCCAGGCCTCAAGGCACCCGCTCGGGCCACAGGATAGGCCCCAGCCTGGCAGTCCAGGGGCACCTCTACATAGGAGTAGAGCTGGGGGTCTGCCAGGCAGGCCCGGGCAGCATAGGTCCGAGGCTCAGGTTCGCTGGGGCCCCCACGACGGGTAAGAAGGAAGTAGGCATGGGTGCCAGTTGGCGCGGCCAGGACGTAGTGCAGCCCATAATCCCCAGGGTCTCCCACCACGAGGCGCCCCAGCCCCTCACCAGAGAAAGCATGGGGGCCCTCAAGGTGCCGGACAGTGAGGGGAGGCACAAGGCGGGTCCCGGAACTCCCCCGAGCCACCCAGAGGAAGGTTCCATGAGCCACAGCCACGGTGGGGACCCCAGCATCTGGGGCAGCAATTAAATGTCCCTCGCCAGGGTCTGGAGGAGTGGCGAGGACATGCTGAGGGTCGGCCAAGGCCCGGGCCTGGCACAGGCCATGGTGACGTTGCCCACAAGTCAGCAGGTGCCCACTGGGGGTCTCAAGAAGCAGGCGGTTGGGGTTGGGGAGATTGGGGGGATTCTCTGTGGTGGCTGTGGCCAGTGGGGCCAGGCCAGGGCCCAGGCGGTGGATGGCATTGGTGGCACCCACATACACGTCACCCGTGGAAGCCACCAGCAGGTGCTGGAAGGAAGCGTTTGGGGGAGCAAAAGTGGGAAGTGGGAAGGGTTCCCCCGGAAGGGGGGGCAGCAGCAGAAGCAGCAGGGGCAGAACAGGCCATGGGAAGGTCATGGCCAAGACCTGTGGGGGAAGAGGAAAGGGTTAAAGGCTGGAGTGGGGAACCCAAGTGCCCAGGCAGCTCCCCCAGGACCATCACCAGATGACTCAGGTGTCCAAACAGCTGCCCCATAACCCGGCAGACTGGACTTGACCACCAGAGAACCCAGGTCTCTGGGAGTCTCTGCCATTGCCTACCCTCCCCACCCAGTGAACCCAGGTGTCTGGACAGCTTGCCCAGGACCCATCACCCCCTACAGAACACCCAGGCATCTGAGTGCATATCTAGGGATTCATTACCCCATGGAGAACCCAGGCATCCAGACAGCTCCCCCGTAACCCATTGCCCCCAAAGAGAATCCAGTCATCCAGGTGGCCCCTCAAAACCTATCACCCCAAAAGAACCCAGGCATCTAGGCTCCCAGCCCCGGCTTGCTATCACCTACCAGGATCAACTCCTCTCCCAGGGAACCCAGACGTCCGGGCTGTGGAAATGCTGTTGCTAATCCACACCCCCTTCCCTCCCCGTGAAATCCAGCACAGACAAGCACCAGATAGGGCATCAGGCAAGGAGGGGACACAGACATCCAGGCTGCCCATCCCCCACCCCCCACTTCTAGAGAACCCAGGTGCCCAGGATCCCGTGCCCTGGGAGGGGAAGGGGAGGGGTGCCCTCACCTGTGGCTTCCAGGTGCTGAGGAGGTTGCCTGGTGAGAGGAAGCCCTGCCCCCTACTCCACCCTCCACAAGGGCTCAGGTGCCCCAGGAGCCCTGACACGCCTGCCCCTCCCCCACTCCCCTTACCCCAAGGAGGGGCTGCCTGACAGACAAAGGCACCAGGCAAAGAACTCAAGTGTCCAAGCTCCCAGCTCCCCCTGCTCTCACTCCCAGCCCTCTATGCTCTAGCCCCTCCTCTTCTCCAAGAGAACCCAGGTGTCCAGGCTGCCTCCAGACCCTGCCCCCCAGCCTTCCCAAACTAGAGAACCCAGACATCTGGGTCCTTGTTCTAAGCCACCAGACACCACTCACCTGGTGAGGGGAAGCCCTGAGGTGGGGAGGGAACCCAGGCATCTGGGCATTCAGCCCAGCCTGCTCTGAGTCTCTAGAGAACCCAGCCGTCCCTGATGCCAGCCCCACCTGCTCTCACCCCCCCAACCCCCATTCCCCTCCCAGAGAACCCAGGCCAGAGCCGGGTGCTCCCCACTGCGAGGAGGGAACCCAGGCGTCTGGCTGAGGGCGGGGGAGGGACATCCCTGTGAATGGGGCCCTGTCTTTTCCCCACCCTGCCCCATCAATGCCCCTCTGTTCCCTCAGCAACACCCGGCTCAAGGACCCATTATGGGATGCTGGCACGAGGAGGACCCCGGAAATGGGGGGGGGGAAGCTGCAGGTCAGGAGCAAGGGACACCATAGGGCTGGAGGGGCTGCAAGTCAGGAATGAGGGGAACTGCAGGTCATGTGGGGGCTGCTGGTCAGCACTGAGGGACATTGTGGGGAGATGGGGCTGTTATTACAGTGCCCCTCACTCCTGACCCACAGACCCAGCTGGAGCCACCAGCCCCTCCCCCCTCCAGCCGCCCCCACGTTTTGGGGGGGAGGGCCCTGGGGGGCTGCATCAAAGGTGCTTTGTCCCGGGCACCCGGATGCCTGAGTTCTCTGGGGGCAGCATTAACCCCATCGGCACCAAAAACTGCTCTGCTTTCACTCCTGACCCACAGCCCCTACCCCCAACCTGTGGTGCCCCTCACTCCCAAACCGCAGCCCCCCATGGGTTCAGTGGGTGGGTAGGGGCTGTGGGTCGGGAGTGAGGAGCACTATGGAGCCAAGCTCCACCCCCACCCCCTGTCCATCCATCTGTCACACTCTGAGCCATCCTGACGGCCCTTTTGTGGTGCCTGCATGTTTCTGGGCCTGAACCTGTTACCCTGAGCATTGAAACCCCTCCCCACCCCCCTCAAGCCTGACTGCAGAGAACTCAGGCATCCAGGCTCCCACACCCCCCTGCTCTGAACTCCAGCTCCCACCCCTGCCAGATAACCCAGGTGTCTGGGCTTCCAGCGCCCCCTCCACTACCCCTGCCCCCCATTCACACCTGACCCACAGCCTGCCCCACAGCCCCATGGTACCCCCTCATTCCTTACCCCCCTGGGCTCTCACCTGTGGCTACCACTACAGCAGTCAGTGTTGGCACTGGGAACTCTGGGTGGACTGTAGGGAGGGAGCCTGGGACAGCTGGTACCCAGGGGCATGGCCACGGGTGGGGCCAATGCCAGGGGCTGCAGGTCAGGAGGGGCACTATGGAGCTATGGTCAGGTCGGTAGGTTGGGAGCAAGGGGCACCAGGGCCAACTTGTGCACCCAGCTCTGGGGTGGGGCCCCAGGCAGCCGAGTCATGCCAGGGGAGAGCAAGAACAGCAGGGCTGTGAACTGCCCCAGGGGGGCCCCAGACCATGGAGTGGTTTGGAAGGAGCCAGACAGATGGACCCAAGGGTCAGCTTCACTGGTGGAGGGGGAACTGGACACCTGGGTCCCGCTGTCTGTTTGCATGTGTCTGTCTGTCCCTGGGTTTCCTTTGTGTGTGTGTGTGCATGTGTGTGTGTGCATGTGCATATGCTCTGGATGCCCAGGTTCCCTGTGCACATTCCAGAACTTGCATTCTCTATGCCTGTGTCCTAGATGCCTGGGTTCCATGTGTGTGTTGAGTGGCAAGTGAGGAAGGGGAGCAAAGTGTTGTGTCTGGGACACTTTGGTCCTCTGTCTGTATGTCCCAAATACCTGGGCTCCCTGTGTGTGTGGGTGTCCAAGATACCTGGGTTCTCTATGTGTCTATGGCCTGGATGCCTGGGTTGTGTGTGTGTGTGTGCGTGGGGGGCAGCTGTAGCCAGGCTGGGGAAATGGGGGTGGCGGGGGGAGGGCTGCTGGGCTTGGAGCCCCTCCTCCTGCCCTGCAGCCCCTGAACTCCTGTGTTCCAAGAGGAAATAACAAGGCCATAAACCTGTCCCCCCTGCTGGGGTGGGAAAAAGAGGGACAGGAAGGTAACACCCAGGGATGGAGGGATGGTAGCCTGGGTTCTCTGGGACAAGAGCAGTGGCTGGGGGGTGGGAACTCAGATGCCTGAGTTCTTTGGGAGGGGGGGTGGGGCTGGAGCAGGGCCAGTTTAATCTGGGATAGGGAGCAGACACACCCAGTCACTTCCCACATCCGTTGCAGCCCTAGGAGCAAGTTACTCCAGTCTTCCAAGGTGTCCTGGCTCCCGGCTCTGACCCACCACCCCCCTACTCACCTCCCAGGGAACCCAGGTCTCCAAGTTCTCAGAGGTCTGTTTTATCTGTGGGGTGATGCCATGGGAGGCTGCAGGTCAGGAGTAAGGGGCACTATGGAGTATGGGGGGGGAGCTGCAGGTTGGGAGTGAGGGGTATAGTGGAATATGGAAGGGGGAGCTGTGAGCTGGGAGTGAGGGGCACTATGGAGGGGGGCTGTAGGTTGGGAGTGAGGGGCACCACAGGGCTATGTGGGGAGCTGTGGGTCAGGAATGAGGGGCACTGCAGGGATGGGGGTGGCTGCAGGCTGGGAGTGAGGGGCACTGTGAGTTAACCCCTGCCTGCCCATGCCTCAGATGCCCAGCTGCAGCCCAGAGACCCCTGTGGGGCAAAAGGGGTGGAGCCAACTGTCAAGGCAGGCACTGGTGAGTCCTGGATGCACCCAGCTCTGGGGGTGCAGCTGGAGGCAGCTGAGTATAACCCAGATGCCTGGGTTCTCTCCAGCTGGGGGGTGGGGGGGAAGGAGCTGGGAGCCCAGACCCCTGGGTTCTGAGAGGGGAGTGGGGCAGGCATGAAAGCAGTAGAATCTGGCAGCCCAGACTCCTGGGTTCTCCCTCTCATTGCAGGCCCCGTGGTCACCAGCTGCCCAGGGAGCTGGGGGGCTGGAGCAGGGCAGGGCAGGCTCCTGCAGCCACTGCCCCCCCCAGGCCCTGCCCAAGCCACCAACCATAGGTTCCATCACCACCACCCTCTGCAGCCAGAGGAGCTACAAGGCCAGAGTATCCCACATCCAGGAGACTGCAGGGGAGGTGAGGGGAACTGTGGGTCAGGTATAAGGGGCACCATGGTGTATGGGGGGGTTGTGGGTCAGGAGTGAAGGCACCACTGGGCTATGAGGAGGGGCTGCAGGTTGGAAGTGAGGGGCTGGAGAGTTAAAATGGGGAGTTGAGAACCCAGGTGTCTGGGCTCCACCCTGACTCTGGCTGTGATGGTGAGGAAAGAAGGCCCAGATGTCTGGGTTCCATGGGAGGGGGGGAGTTCTATGGGGAATGATAAGGGTGGCTGCCAGGAGCCTGGACACCTGGGTCCCTGGCTGGGGTGTAGCTAACCTCCCCTCTCCTCGCTCAGATGGCTGTGCTCTCTGCACCCTGGCCTGCCTCTTCTGCAAACTCAGGGCTCTCTGCTCCCTGGCCCTATGCTGCGGAAGTGAACCCTGCTGGGCAAGGGCAGGACCATCAGCTGGGGGAGGTGGGGCCTGCAGTTGCCCCTGGAGCCCATGGGCTGTGACTCAGCCTGCCTGGAGATTGCCTTAGAGTGCTGTGGTATGTTTCCCCATTTAAGTCTCCTCATGAGAGGCTCTACCCATCCCAGGCCCCACCCCCTCTTCAGGGCCGAGCCCTACCAAGGTAGCCTGCGAATGAATGAGCCACAGCCTGCTGTGATGCATCTGGACACCCCCCTCCCATCCCCCACCTCATCCTTTCTGCATCTGATGTTATCCAGTGAAGTATTACCAGGACTATGAAATCGTAGGTGAGGATGGGAAGAGACTAAGATAGCAGTATCCAAATCAGGCCATGCCCCTCTGTGACTTCATTTAACCAGACCATGCCCTTTCAAACCATGACATCATTTTGTGGCTCAAATCTGGCCCACCCAGGCAGTGATGTCATGCACAGTGGTGTGCCCTGCCCATAGTGGCTATGACCTAATCCTCTGGGCCAAGCCCCACCCCATTGGCTGTGGTCTCCTCTCTGGGCCAAGCCCCACCCCATTGGCTGTGGGCCCCCTGCCCATCCAAACCCCACCCACATCCAGGAGCCCTGCCCACATGGCCTATCTCATTGCAGAACCAGCCAAACACACCTACCTCACTTGTGATGTTACCTTCCCTAAACTCACACTCCAACAACCAGTCACACTGTCTCCATTGTGATGTCACCTGACCACCAGCGGGCCTTGACCTGCTGTTGATATCAGTCCTTGGGTTTCTGATGTCATCATCACTCCAAAATCATGTGGTATCATCACTTATTGACACTACAAGATTACCACTTCTTGTTTTGTGATGTCATTGCTGTTTGACTCTATTCACTCATGCATTCAACTAAAATTAACTTTTAATATTCTCAGCACCATGTCTTCATTCCTTGATGCCATTGCTCCCCAAAGCTGTGACATCGTTAGTCCATAATGCTATTGATGCCATTGCTCCACAAAGCTGTGATCTCATTTGTCCCTAATGTTGTAATGGCATTACTCCAGAAAGCTGTGACACCATCAGTCCCTGATGTCATTGCTCAACATGGCTGTGCCATCATCAGTTCCTGATGCTGTATTTACATCACTCTCCAAAGCTGTGATAGCATCAGGGCCTGTTGACATCTCACTAAACTGTGATTTCATCAGCCCCCAATGCCATGATGTCATAAGTTTATACTGTCATGGTTCCCTGAAGTTGTGAAGCCATCCCTCTCCAACACGGTGATGCTATGGCTCCCTGAAGCTGTGATATCATCACCTGGGCCCAAGTTCCTCTATTCATCCAGGGCAGACAAGGTTCCTTGGGTGAATCTGATATCTTTTATTAGACCAACCCAAATAGTTGGAAAATAATTATTAAGCAAGCTTTCGGGTTCAAAAACCCTTCATCAGTCTAAGGAAATTTCAGCAGTTGGGGTGTGCTCTTCCTGGATGGAATTAAAAGTAAAGAAGCCAGCGGCTGGGTTGGGATGCATGCAAGACCAGACCCTTGTAATATAAACGTGGTGAATTCTATTTCCGCCTGATGTTGTTTGTTGAACGAAAGGGTTAGTACTGACCTGGCGGGTACTTGAAGGACCTCCATAGCCAGCATGCACTGCGGCAACCACTGAGCCTTCAATGCCCAACATGCACTGCAACAGAAAAGGAGACGGGCTATCTCCATACCCAGCATGCCTGGCAGCAGCTGTGCACTAAACTCCAATTCCCAGCATACACTGCGCGGAAAAGCCTTGGAAGGAGAACCTACAGCACCCAGCCGGCGACTACGTATGGTCCCGAGAGATCCCGACCCCCCCGGGGGCGCATGCGTGGGTGCCTCCGGACCTCTTCCATATCAGCACCGCCTGG